GTTGAATGTGAATGCTATCAAAGCAAAATTAAAATAGTGACTCTTTACGAGAAAAATTCACTAAACAAGGGAGTGTGTTCAACAATATTCTTATAATTATACTAGACTTCCCGTGACCCGTTGTATTCCCATGTTTTTTTTTTCCATCGTACCTCCGTAACCCTGGCTATTCAAAGACCCATCCACTCTTGTCCTTCCATCACAATTATGCACCGTCGCTGCTTCACTACAGGGCCAGTCTGTGGTATCAGGAAGGGGACTGTAAAACTCAAAAGAAATTACTACTGTCGAAAGAAGCTAGCCAGGATCTGAAAGGGAATTTTGCTTCAATCAAGAATGTTGACAAGAAAATCGGCTCTTTTCACCTAAGCTAAGTCCGCAGAGGCAAATTGTCATTTTTCATATTACACTTTTATGCATTCGTATAGTAAATACAATTAAATAGTGATTATTGTTGTGTTCCTTTTCATTTGAGCACCTCGGGATTTAGCGCTTACATTCCATAAACATAGCATTGTTTCATGGTGTAATATCGTGGATGTCACATGAGTCACATGGTGGCTGCTTGGTGACATCATTTCATAGAATGGCGAGAGTGGTCAGTACTTCAGTCAGCTTCCAGGAATCAAACCGAGCATTTGCCTCGCCCGGGCTTCGACCCAAAGCAATCAGCTGCCACAAGGGACAATACAAGCCCATGGCGCCGTTTTCCTATGGCGATATATACAGAAATTATCTCCGGCTTGAAGTCCTACGGTGTGGATAAATGTATGTTGCAAACATAACGATCCTTAGAACGATAACTCGTTTTTGAAAATAACTATTTTGAAAGAAGAGTTATCTTCTCATTAAAAAAAGGATATTTCCCTTGCATTTTCTAGTGGCTATAAAATATGCATTGACAAATTATTTAAAATATTGGATAGGTAGCAACAAATAATACTTATTGAAATATTTTAAAAAAGACATATAAAAGTTAGTATACGATAACTGCGAGAAATGCAGATCTGAAACATAATATTTTTATTGAGAAAACAACATATTTATCATTCATGATGTACAAACTCGCGTTTGTACAAAAGCAATGGATCGATCTTAATATAAGTGCTTTTCCAAAGTTTCATCTTACAAGCTGAAAAAGATATGCAGGGTGACCCAAAATTTCAATGAAATCGAGAATATTTAAAAAAAAAAAAAAAAACTAACTGAATTTTATGTTTATTAATTAATTATGATACAAAACAAATAGATTTAAAAATCTTACGTCAAAAATTTTATTGAAAATTCTCAACGTGTGCTCCGTCTGTATACGTGCAAATTTCAAATCTATTCTTAGCGTTTCAAAACACATTTTGAAGCATTTCAGGGGTGATCTCATGCACTGTTTATTGAATGTCTTTTTCTTTAAGCTCAGCTAAAATATTGATCTTTTGACGATAAACTTTTATTTTTATGGAAGCCCTTGCAAAGAAAATCAGGTGGGGTTAACAAGGATGCCATTACTAATAGCGTCCTGAAAAGGAATGAAATAAAATTAGAAAAAAAATTACTAAGATTATAAAGTTATAAACAAAATTAGTTAATTTATACACTTCTATTATATATCAAGTAATTTTTTTTAATTGTACGATTTCATTGAAATGTTTAATTCTGGAATACATACATCATCCATTTCTTCCAGCATATGTCACCCAAAACTTAGAAAGTTCACCCAATTGAAAACTAATGTATAGAATTTTAGGTGTTCTTAAAGTTTCTCATTATATATATATATATATATATATATATATATATGTATGTATGTATAATATGTATATATATATATATATATATATATATATATATATATATATATATATATATATATATATATATATATATATATATATATATATATATATATATATATATATATATATATATATATATATATATATATATATATATATATATATATATATATATATATATATATATGAAGAAATATAGTCTTAAGGTGTGCTATATTTATGGGATAAAGTGCTCGATATCAGAGATAGAGCGTGTGAATATAAAAGTGAACATAGAAGTCAACACTTAGAGGCGACAGTCTGTTTCATGCTATATGCAATCGTCAGGCCACGTGTGCTGTTATTTTTCTCGGCTATTTATACATATACGGGTCAGTGGTGCATTGTGGGTAGTCTATTGTGGCGGTTATTTTACCGGAAGTTATTTGGTTTATTTAAAAAATTGTTTATATCACTTATTTAATAGTTTTGTTTTGGTTTGAGAATTTAATTAAAGCTATTTGTTCCGTTTGGGGTTGGTTGTTGTAGTTTTATTCTAACTATTATTTTGGCAGAAACAGTTTTTAATTTCTGTTTATTTGGGTTGATTATCTTTATTTGTTTTTTCTATCGGTAACTTTATCGGGATTGGTTAGTTTATTTATTTACTTGGATGAATTTAGGTCAATTTATTTTACTTCTATATTGTCTCGTTTCGATTTTCGATTTTTAAGTAACCTAGTATTTATTTATTTATTTGTTTTTTATTTTATTTTATTTATTTATTATCGTTATATAACAGCTATTTTTTTCGTCCGATTTTTTGGTTTGATTTTTTAGTCTAACTAATATTTTGATCATAATGGTTTGCTACTTTGTTAATTGTTTACTTTATTTATTTGGGTTCGTTGTTTTTTGTTATTATTATTATTATTATTATTATTATTATTCTATTTCGTCTATTCTAACAGGTGTGATTTGGTAATTTGTTTGGATTAATTAATTTTGCTTATTTTATTGTTATTTTGTTTACTTGTTTATTTATTTGTTTTTATTTTATTTTTTCCGTTTTCAATTTTTAAGTAACGTAGTAAAAATTTGTTTTCACAAACAGTTACTTTGTTTTTAATAAATTAATTTCGTCTTTGCCTTGAAAAGTCTACATTGGACGAAACACGTCGCCTAATAATACAGTTTTCCTATTGTCTTTTACCTTTATACATAGTCTTTTTCTACAGATTAACTCTGAGAAATTTTTCATATATATATATCCTTACCCTACCTTACCCTGACTTGACATCTGTGAATGTAACTTTATACTGATACTTATTATTAACACCTTACACCCTTTTTACAAAGCCTTTAGCCATTACCATAGAAATTTTGATTTCAATAATGAATATGCTATTAAAACACGTCAATTTCAAATATAAGTTATTCCAAAAAGAATTCGCTTGAAGATGGAACAGAGCTTACTTTAATTCAAATAATTATATTGAAGTTTTCGGCTCTTGTTTTGAAACATGAGAACTCTTATGTAGCGTGTTGATTCATATTTTAAATAAATAATTTTATATATATATATATATATATATATATATATATATATATATATATATATATACGGCACTATAAAGACGCATAAACCTATCTTCTCCGTCATATCATACCTTCCTAGTAAATATAGTGTTATGTCAACATCAGAAGTAATCCAAATTCTAAAAAGTGAAATACCCAACAATGAAATCCTAGCTTCACTTGATGTTGAAAAACTTATATTATAAAATGGACTAAGTCCGACAATTATTTTAATATATTTTCTGCTACTTATTATCAACCAGAATAACTCGTTATCCATTACCCAACACCTACACCCTGACTATCCTGTTACATACCTATTAAGCCGTCTTAGTTTCATTTAAGTCAAGACAGATAATATTACATTTTATAAAAGTGAGTGAAAAGTTTAACTTCGTAGACGCGAACACATACATGAGGACACACCGACAGAAAATTCGACTACTTTTGTCAATACTGACACCTTTTTTTCCATGTATTTGTTTTCGTTCTACCATTGTTCACCCACTACAAGAGCCACTCAATGTAGAGATTTACTGCATGGGTATATTGCAAGGGTGTATAAGTAGGAGAAAAGGGTTTCATATTATGATCATATGTAGAATAGATAACGGTTGACCCTCGAGTTGAAGATTATAGTGATCAGAGCAGTAGCTCCTCGGAAGTTCGTTTCACATTACAGATCTTTTAAGCTTAATACACACCAAAATATTCATTCATCCCCCTCCCCCACCCCCACCCAAAATGATATTTACTAAACTCAACGCCAAAATTTAGTAATGTCGTTTTTAAAATTTGTTAAAAAAATACATTCATTATTATTTTTTGCTTTACGTCTCCAAAGGAACTCACACAAGCAAGAATCTCTTGTGATGCATCAAATTCCCAAAACAGCTCTCATCTCTCTCCACATAGTCCCGGGGACTCCAATCATTGACGATGACTTTCTTCAGGTGTATACTTCCCTGAGGTAGTTTGTCCAATCCGCAACTTACTGTAAGAAGCGAACACCACTCTCCTTGTCGTTGCAATTCTTATATTAACTCCAGCAACTTCATGGCAAATTAAACAAATTTTAATTTCAAATTTATAATTTCAAAATGCCAAAAGTTTAATTTTAAAAAAAAAGGCAAATTTTATCATTTTTATCGGGGTGAATTAATATTTGCGAGAAGTAACTTTACATTATTTGGAGTGAATTAACAGAAAATACCCCCATCTAAATATGCTTTCTTTTTTTTTTTTTAAATATTTATTCTATTGTTGAACGTGTTTTTATTATTGCTGTCGTTGTTGTTAGGGAGACTGGCGCGATACGTTACGCTTCGAAATTTGCCATCGGGATGTTACAAAATACTAAAAAGATAAAATATATTATTCAAGACCTAATGATGTTTGTCAATAAACGCAATTTTCACTGTCACAACAAAAGGAAGCTTAATGTTCTGTCACCAGTAAACTGAACCAAATAAAATCTCGGATGAGTAAAAAAAAAAAAAAAAAACTCAGAAACGTTTAAATTTTTTTTATGAGAGACAAGATATTTTCCATGTATTTTTCACGATATCGAACTTTTGAAAAGCGACGCGTCGTCGAGACAATTTTAAAGGAGAAAATATACGTAGAAAAAGAGACCAGCTTCATCTCATCAAAATGACACACGGTCAGTATCCCCGTTTCTTTATTTAAATTATATACTAGTATTTATTCAGTTTGGTATTTTACATTTACAATTTTCATCTTTTTAAGCAGTGTTTCGCTTCATGATACAGATGATCATGTTTCGCCATAGCTTCTCTTTCTTAAATATCTGTAAACTGTGCATAGCCATTTTTCTTAGTAAAGATAATAGATTTTTAATCTATAGATGTTATCCTTCTCTTAGACTGGTTAGTGTTTGCTCTGATATTTAATCTATAGATGGGGGATAATATTTTTTTAAATTAACATTTGTTAGACATTTGTGAGAATCGAAAGATATTGATTTTTTATCGATTTAGAAGAGGGACCATGTTCATAATATTCATACAGTGTAAAAAAAAAAGACCCCCATGACTATTTACAGAGTTACGGGACTTAGCAATTTTAGGTGTACGTATTATAGATAAAGGCGTATTATACATAGGGAATTAGGGTAACTAAAAATTAAAGACACACCTTGTCGGCTGATTTTAACAAAACTTGTTTGGATAAATTCTTACTGCTTAAATAAATAAATATATACAGGGATTAGACAAAAAGTATATATAAATATATATATATATATATGGCAATTATACAGACACACACATGCATATATATATATGAAGAAATATAGTTTAAAGGTGAGCTATATTTATGGGATAAAGTGCTCAATATCTGACGCAATCGTCAAGGCGCCCTGACGATTGCGTCTAGCATGAAACAGCCTGTCGCCTCTGAGTGTTGTCTTCAATATTCACTCATATATATGAAGATCCAGAGAAAAATAAAATTCTCTGGAGAAATAAATTATTAGAATGGAGCCTTTAAGTGTTCTGTTTTTCTTTAAATTAAATTATTCGCTCTGAATTAACATTGAGCTCTCAGGATTTCATCTTCCTTGGGATTATCCATACGGATAACCAAGATTTTCGTTACTTAACTATATATATATATATATATATATATATATATATATATATTTTTTCCTTAGACAAAATAATGTGAACGTTGGTAAAAAATAGTATTTTTTTTTCAATTCCGGCATTTCCGGGTATTTATAAACATCAAACCGGCCTAAAGAGGTAACTGCTCAGCATTTTAATCCATTACCTCACTTTTTCGCCCTAATTAAGTCATTATTTATCTTCAAGTAAATGAGTTACATAAGTGACCGGGCGGATTTTCAAAGAGGACAAATAGTTGATGCTCGATTAGCAGGAATATCTGTGACCAAAATGTCTGAATTATTAAATGTGTCACAAACTGTAGGGTTCACAGTTATGGCAGCTTACACAAAATAAGGCAAAACATCGTCAGTAAAGACTAAAGAGTAATAGTGGACGGAAACCAAAGTTGGCCGAAAGAGATCGACGAATTGTGTAAAAAAAAAAAAAAAAAAAATCATAAAACAACTGCACCAAAAGAACTCATTTACTCACCGAAACAGTACAGTTTCTACACGCACTGTACGTCGGGTGCTCCACAAAGCTGGTATCTATGGAAGGTCTGCGATTCCTAAACCTCTTTATAAAGATTTACTACTTGTTTCTTATTTTATCATTACACTCCCAAAATAACGAAAATGACAAATATTAGGAGATATTAAAATCTTTATTTTAACGTTTCCAAAGCTAAACGGCACTCTATTAATCATCTAAGAGACATCACTCGGCCTTGAGGTTAGCATCATGGCTGATGCTATCCTCCAGAAAAGTTACACGTTGCGCCTTCTCAAGCTCACGTTCTCAGCTGACATGAAGTGGAAAGACTATATTGAATCCATTGCTAGGTCAGCTGCTAAGAAAGTTGGTTCACTGTGTCGTGCGAGACAATTTTTCTCTCCAGAATCTATCTTACATATCTACCATTCATCCATGCTTAGAATATTGCTGCCACATATGGTCACTTGTCCCTGCTATTTACCATGACCTTCTTGATAAATTCCAAAGAAGAATCAGCAATATTATTGGTCCTGATCTGGCATCTCAGCTCCTGTCGCTTTCCCACTGCAGGAAAGTTGCCTCTCTATGTGTTTTCTATAAATACTTTCAAGGTAATTGTTCGGATGAACTCTTCACTATGGATTTATGAATTTAAGCGCAGTACTAGATTAGTGATGAGGTCTCATCAATTTACAGCTGAGCTGGATGGATGTAGTCGTAAGTTCTATGCTAACAGTTTCTTTTCTCGCACTTCTCGCTTGTGGAACTCCCTTCCGGCTCCATGCTTTCCATCCAACTTTAATCTCCAAAAATTCAAATGCTATGTCAATGTTATAAATAAAATCAAACCAAATCAATATTTTTTGCATTTCATAACTTATTAAATTTAATATTATCCGGTACTTCTCTAGTTGATTTATCAGTCGTCATTAACCAACTGACTCGCAAATTGGCGATCATGGCTCTCCACAACTTCTTCCTGTCGTTTGTAGCTCTTAATGAATTTTGTCTTTTTGTTATTTCTTCTAAACCTTGTTCCACTATCGATTTACTCATGTTCATTCTTCTTCTATGTAATGATATGTCCTTTCAGAACGTTTTTTCGATCATGGCTTTCCACAACTTTTCTTCCTATTTTATTGTAGCTCTTAATAAATTTTATCTTTTTGTTATTTCTTCTAAACCTTGTTTCCTATCCATTTAATATTTATTCATTCTTCTTCTATGTGATATGTCCCTTTCAGAACGTGAGCGATCATGGCTCTCCACAATTCTTCCTGTTGTTTGTAGCTCTTAATAAATTTTGTCTTTTTGTTATTTTATAAACCTTGTTCCACTATCCATTTATTTACCATTCTTCTTCTATGTGATATGTCCTTTCAGGACGTTGAGCAATATCATGGCTCTCCACAATTCTTCCTGTTGTTTTGTAGCTCTTAATGAAACATTTTCGTTTTTTATTATTTCTTCTAAACCTTGTTCCACTATCCATTTACTCATGTTCATTCTTCTTCTATGTGATATGTCCCTTCAGAACGTGAGCGATCATGGCTCTCCACAACTTCTTCCTGTTGTTTGTAGCTCTTAATGAATTTTGTCTTTTTGTTATTTCTTCTAAACCTTGTTATCCTGTCTGTCCATTTACTCATTTCATTCTTCTTCTATGTGATGTTTCCTTTCAGGACGTGGTCAATCATGGCTCTCCACAATTTCCTGTTGTTTGTAGGTCTTAATGAATTTTATCTTTTTGTTATTTCTTCTAAATCTTGTCCTGAAATCCATTTATTTAAAGAGAAACTATGTGATATTCCTTTCAGAACGTGATCGATCATGGCTCTCCACAATTTCTTCCTGTTGTTTGTAGCTCTTAGTAAATTTTGTATTTTTATTTTTATTCTAAACCTTGTTCCACCTCCATTTAAAATCATTTCATTTTCTTCTTCTATGTGATATTTCCTTTCAGAACGTGAGTCAATGGCTCTCCACAATTTTTGTTGTTTTGTAGCTCTTAATAAATTTTGTCTTTTTTTATTTCTTCTAAACCTTGTTCCACTATCCATTTACCATTTCATTCTTCTTCTATGTGATATGTCCTTCAGAACGTGAGGATCATGGCTCTCCACAATTTTTCCTGTTGTTTGTAGCTCTTAATAAATTTTATCTTTTTGTTATTTCTTCTAAACCTTGTTCCATCCTGTCCATTTACTCATTTACCATTCTTCTTCTATGTGATATGTCCCTTCAGAACGTGATGTGATCATGGCTCTCCACAATTCTTCCTGTTGTTTGTAGCTCTTAATAAATTTTGTCTTTTTTATTATCCTATTTCTTCTAAACCTTGTTCCACTATCAATTTACCATTTTCATTCTTCTTCTATGTGATATGTTTTTCAGAACGTGAGTCAATGGCTCTCCACAACTTCTTCCTGTTGTTTGTAGCTCTTAATAAATTTTCTTTTTTATTTCTTCTAAATCCTTGTTCCATCATCGATTTTACCATGTTCATTCTTCTTCTATGTGATATGTCCCTTTCAGGACGTGAGCAATCATGGCTCTCCACAACTTCTTCCTGTTGTTTGTAGCTCTTAATAAATTTTGTCTTTTTTGTTATTTCTTCTAAACCTTGTTCCATTATCCATTTAACCATTTTCATTCTTCTTCTATGTGATGTTTCCCTTCAGGACGTGGTCGATCATGGCTCTCCACAATTCTTCCTGTTGTTTGTAGCTCTTAATAAATTTTATCGTTTTGTTATTTCTTATAAAACCTTGTTCCCTATCCATTTACTCATGTTCATTCTTCTTCTATGTGATATTTCCCTTCAGAACGTGAGCGAATCATGGCTCTCCACAATTTTCCTGTTGTTTGTAGCTCTTAATAAATTTTGTCTTTTTGTTTTCTCTTTGTTCCTCTAAACCAGTTCCATGTCATCCATTTACATACATTCTTCTTCTTTGTATCATATGTTAAATATTCCTTTCAGGACGTGAGTCAATATCATGGCTCTCAAAATCTTCCTGTTGTTTGTAGCTCTTAATAAATTTTGTCTTTTTGTTATTTCTTCTAAACAGTTCCACAACCATTTACTCATGTTCATTCTTCTTCTATGTGATATGTCCTTTCAGAACGTGGTCGATCATGGCTCTTGACAACTTTCTTCCTGTTGTTTGTAGCTTTAATGAATTTTGTTTTTTGTTATTTCTTCTTAAAATCAGTTCCACTATCCATTTAACCATTTACCATTCTTCTTCTATGTGATATGTCCCTTCAGAACGTGGTCGATCATGGCTCTCCACAATTCTTCCTGTTGTTTGTAGCTCTTAATAAATTTTGTCTTTTTGTTATTTTATAATTGTTATCCTGTCAACCTCATGTTCATTCATTCTTCTATGTGATTTCCCTTCAGGACGTGGTCAATAATGGGCTTCCACAATATTCTTCTGACCTATGTAGGTCTTAATAAAATTATCGTTTTGTTATTTCTTATAATCAGTATTGTCATCCATTTACCATTCTCCTTCTTCTGTGATGTCCCTTC